TGAAGGCAGACTGAGGCTGAGGCTGAAGCAGGCTGAGGCTGAGGCTGAGGCAGGCTGAGGCTGAGGCTGAGGCAGGCTGATGCTGAGGCAGGCTGAGGCTGAGGCTGAGGCTGATGCAGGCTGAGGCAGGCTGAGGCTGAGGCTGAGGCTGAGGCTGAGGCTGATGCAGGCTGAGGCTGAGGCAGGCTGAGGCTGAGGCCGAGGCTGAAGGCAGACTGAGGCTGAGGCTGAAGCAGGCTGAGGCTGAGGCTGAGGCAGGCTGAGGCTGAGGCTGAGGCAGGCTGATGCTGAGGCAGGCTGAGGCTGAGGCTGAGGCTGATGCAGGCTGAGGCTGAGGCAGGCTGAGGCTGAGGCCGAGGCTGAAGGCAGACTGAGGCTGAGGCTGAAGCAGGCTGAGGCTGAGGCTGAGGAGGCTGAGGCTGAGGCTGAGGCTGAGGCTGAGGCTGAGGCTGAGGCTGAGGCTGAGGCAGGCTGAGGCTGAGGCTGAGCCTGAGGCCGAGGCTGAAGGCTGAGGCTGAGGCTGAAGGCTGAGGCTGAGGCTGCAGGCTGAGGCTGAGGCTGAGGCTGCAGGCTGAGGCAGGCTGATGCTGAGGCAGGCTGAGGCTGAGGCTGAGGCTGATGCAGGCTGAGGCTGAGGCAGGCTGAGGCTGAGGCCGAGGCTGAAGGCAGACTGAGGCTGAGGCTGAAGCAGGCTGAGGCTGAGGCTGAGGCAGGCTGAGGCTGAGGCAGGCTGAGGCTGAGGCAGGCTGAGGCTGAGGCTGAGGCTGAGGCTGAGGCTGCAGGCTGAGGCAGGCTGAGGCAGGCTGAGGCTGAGGCTGAGGCTGAGGCTGAGGCTGAGGGAGGCTGAGGCTGAGGCTGAGGCTGAAGGCAGGCTGAGGCTGAAGGCTGAGGCTGAGGCTGAGGCTGCAGGCTGAGCAGGCTGAGGCTGAGGCTGAGGCTGAGGCAGGCTGAGGCTGAGGCTGAGGCAGGCTGATGCTGAGGCTGAGGCTGAGGCAGGCTGAGGCTGAGGCCGAGGCTGAAGGCAGACTGAGGCTGAGGCTGAAGCAGGCTGAGGCTGAGGCTGAGGCAGGCTGAGGCTGAGGCTGAGGCAGGCTGATGCTGAGGCAGGCTGAGGCTGAGGCTGAGGCTGAGGCTGAGGCTGAGGCTGAGGCTCTGAGGCTGAGGCTGAGGCAGGCTGAGGCTGAGGCAGGCTGAGGCTGAGGCTGAGGCTGAGGCAGGCTGAGGCTGAGGCTGAGGCTGAGGCTGAGGCTGAGGCTGAGGCTGAGAGCTGAGGCTGAGGCTGAGGCAGGCTGAGGCTGAGGCTGAGGCTGCAGGCTGAGGCAGGCTGAGGCTGAGGGCGCTGAGGCTGAGGCAGGCTGAGGCTGGCTGCAGGCTGAGGCTGAGGCTGAGGCTGAGGCTGAGGCTGAGGCTGAGGCTGAGGCTGAGGCTGAGGCTGAGGCTGCAGGCTGAGGCTGAGGCAGGCTGAGGCTGAGGCTGAGGCTGAGGCTGAGGCTGAGGCTGAGGCTGAGGCTGAGGCAGGCTGAGGCTGAGGCAGGCTGAGGCTGAGGCCGAGGCTGAAGGCAGACTGATGCTGAGGCTGAAGCAGGCTGAGGCTGAGGCTGAGGCAGGCTGAGGCTGAGGCAGGCTGAGGCTGAGGCTGAGGCTGAGGCTGAGGCTGAGGCTGTGACTGCGACTGCCGTTGCCACTGCGACTGTCATCGCGTGCGACTACGACTGCGAGAACAGCAGAATTCTACAACTGGATTCTCATCTGAATCTTAAGGGGAATGCTTCCAGATATGCTCCTACACATCGCTGTTAGGTTGCTTTGCCGGGATAATTTGGACAAGGATGACGGGGGTTGTCGACATCATTTGGGTTGGGATAGTATGAATTCGTATGGGAAATGGGCGCCGAGGCAGAATTGTATTAATTTGCAGTATCCCAAGACGACCTTGTATGTCAGGGTTCGGGGAGATGTATTGCTAAGGCTTCACGGCCAGTTCCGCCGACCCTGAAGGCCAGACCTCCCTTGGGACCCCGCTGGCGACCCCCCAGTGGGGCCCGCCAGGACCCCGGGGGAGTGGCATTCTAACCCAGGACCTCCCCCACTCCCTGGCCGCATCACCCCCATGACCCCCCCCCTTCCCCGGGACTCCCCAGGACCCCGGGGGGGCGGTATTAACCCTGGGCCTCTACAACCCCAAAGTTACCCGGGACCTTCCGCTGGCGACTCCGCCCCCCGGGTCCCGCCGGGGCCCCGAGGGGGCGGCATTCTGACCCGGGACCCCCTCGTCCCCCCCCCTTCGGCAGGGAAGGGAGAAAGGGAAGGGAATCGACTTAACTATGTTCTTTTTCCTTATTTTTGGAATTTTCTTGGGAATGACGGCGACGACGGCGGCGGCGGCGGCGACGACGACGACGACGACGACGACGACGACGACGACGACGACGACAACTCGAACGGACAAGCGTTTCACGCACGCGGAAGTGTCGTCTGAACCCATGTGGTGCAACCTTTAGGGTGCCACCCAGGGGGTGCAATCCTTGTGGCGCAGCTTATGTCAGTCATCTACGTGGTGCCAGCGATGCTTTGCAAGCTGTGTTGTGCGAGGTATGTGGTGCTCAAGGCGCACGGGGTGCGGGGGACCACTGGCGGGCACCACGCGAAGTCCCGCCCTACCCAGCGCCCTGGGCGCCCACGCAGCACCCTCTGGCGGCCACCAGCCGGGCATCAGGCGAACCCCGGCAGCAACCATCCAGCGCACAGGGGGCCCGCAAGGCGCCCACGGGCGGGCACCAACCGCCCATCAGTCGGAATCCCGCCCTGCCCACCCAGCGCACGGGGCGCCCACGAGGCGCGCACGGCAGGCCACCGGACGGGCACCAGGCGAAACCCTGCCTTATCCACCTGGTTCTTTACATTTCCCCCCTGGAACCGATGTGCACTCAACGTGGCGAAATATGCGGGATGCAACTTATGTGGTGCAGTAGCGGTGGCGAAAAGAACTTTTGCCACTTCATGAGTTGTCAACTCCACTGCTCGCGCAATCATCCCACCCTCCCACCCGCAACTTGATTTGCAAAACCCATGCGGCGGCGATTGCGATGACTGCTTGGCCGTAGCTGGCGCATCTCTGTCGCCGCGCTGGCGCGCGCAAGCTCGCGTGCTGAGCGGCCAGCTGGTTTGGCACAACTGTTGCGGCCACGGTGGCCGCCGTGGGAACCGCCTCCGTGGGAACCGCACGCCTCCTTGGTAGCCGCCTCCGTGGTTGGGGGCCGCCGTGGGAGGCGTCGCCGCGGGAACCGCCGCCGTGTGAGCCGCCGCCGTCGGAACCGCTTCCATGGGAGCCGCCGCCAAAAGTGGGCCGTCCACTGCCGCAAGTAGGAACAGCCACGAGTTGGGCCGAAGTTGAACACCACATACAAACCGTAGAATAATAATAATATTATTATTATGATTATTATTAGTAGTGTTATTATTGTATAGTGGCACAAGATGGATAGACCGAACGCACGGACTGCCTGGCACCGATGCCGCCAGCGCGCGAGGGGCACCTTGAGCCCGAGGAGGAGATGTAGGTCGACGTGAACCTCGGCGTGAACCGTTGCACTGCCGTCGCTAAAACGCCAGATCAGGTTCAGGAAGATGAGGATTTATGGTCACGTGGTGTCGAAGGACGCTCAACGTCTACGTGGGCACAGGCGGGGAGCTGGTCACGCTGATGTGCAGCAGCAACACGGACCTTTCAGCGCAATGCGGCGAGTGTTGTTGCCCCCCGCCGCGTGCCGCAGCACCGGCGAGTGAGACAGGAGCGACCTGTCCCAGGCATTGCAGTCTCGGAATGACCGAGTCGATGTTGATGATGATCATGCTGATGTTACTGGTGGCGCTGATGAAAATGGGGATGATGCTGGTGACGATGGCGATGCGGATGGTGATGGTGATGCTGCTGATGATGATGCTGCTGGTGATGATGATGATGATGATGATGATGATGATGATGATGATGATGCTGATGCTGATGATGATGATGATGATGATGACGATGGTGGTGGTGATGATGATGATGATGATGGTGATGATGATGATGATGCTGCTGCTGATGATAATGATGATGATGATGATGATGATGATGACGATGATGATGATGATGATGATGATGATGATGATGATGATGCTGCTGCTGCTGATGCTGATGATGATGATGATGCTGCTGATGATGATGATGATGACGATGATGATGGCGATGACGATGGCGATGTGGGTGCTACTGATGATGCTGCTGCTATTGGTGGTAGTGATGGTGATGGTTCTGATGCTTCTGGTAATTTTAACGATGAGTGTCAATATGGTATGGTGCTGCTGCTTCGTATGGTGGTACAGATGAAAGTGGTGATGGTCATGACGGTGGTGGTGGTGGTGGTGGTGATCGTGGTGGTGGTGACGCTGATGTTGGTGGCACGGCTGATGGTGACCAAGACGACGATGACGACGACGATAATCACGAGGACGATGATGGTGATGATGGTCATAATGCTTATGCTTCTGTTGCTGTTGATTGTAATGGTGGTGATGATGGTGATGATGGTGGTGACGAAACTGATGGTTGTGATGATGATGATGCGGGATCTGTTGGTAGGGATGCTGATGGGTTCATCGATTGCGACGAGCAGTATGTCTATGACGGTGGCGATAATGTCACGGATGACGATGATGGTCATGATGAGGGGGGCGGTGGTGGTGATGTTGATGATGAGGATGATGGGGAAGATGATGCGAATAATGGGGGAGGAGGAGTATGATCATGGTGACATGCTGGCGGTCGAAGAAGACGAGGATACAGAGACATATGGGAAGGACGCGGTGGGGGAGGTTCGGTGCAGGATGAGGAGGGAGGAGGATGACGAGGAGAAAACGGACTGGGGAGGGGAACGGGGGAGGGGACGGGCTGGGCCGCATCTTACTATGGTGAGCCATCGGAGGAGAAGAAGAAACTCCTCATCGAACACCACCGCAGGATGCGCAAGAAGGCTGCACAGGTTCGCATCGACGTTATCGGCAGGGAGAGGACAAGGCCCTGCGAGAGGGGATGGGGGACAGACTAGAAACCGACGAATGACCGTGCCGAAACTCCTCGCCATGATTGGTTCGCTAGTGGAAATTGGAGATCATGATCGAATTGCTCTCGAAAGCGAGTTGGGGAACATTTTCCACACCGGCATTGGTTGCAGCACTTACGGCCCCAAATGGCATAGCAAGCGTCCACGCTTGCACGAGTCTTGATTTTGAATGCGCAGCCAGTCGGTCATACCATGTGGAATTTCTTGGATTCTTGGGCTTGTGCTTTAACAGCGAATTACCGAGACATGCCTCTGCTTTTTTTTCCCGCTTCTTTGCCTCAAACGTTGGTGTGTGACGGGCCTCTTCGCGAGTGCAGGTTTCGCCATGCTGTCAGAATTGTCTCCCTTGTCGTCGTCGTCTGCGTCTCCTCATCATCCCGTTGGAGCTTCCACTGCGACCAGCGTGTTTCCCGGGCTCCCACCTGCCCAGCCTTCACGGGGCCGCCCTCCCTGGACAGCTGTCGGCGCCTCGCCTCGCCTCCTGCCTCCTGCCCTCCCCCCCTTCCCTCTCCCCCTTTCCTCCCTCGCCCCCGTCCCCCCCCGCCTTCCCTGCCCGCGGATCGAGAAAAAGTCAGCGCAACGGGGGGGGGGATGGGAGGGAGGGATAGGACCTCCCCCCTTTCCCCCTCCCCTCGCCCTCCCCGCCTCGCCGCTCCAGCAGGAGAGCAGAGAGCCCTCCCCCCCCCCCCTCCCGCGCCCCTCCTCGGGCTGCACGTTGCAGCGCCGGCCCCGCGCTCGCTGAGTGGGGGCTCCGGCAGGACAAGTGGTCCGAGGATTCCTGGGCCTGTTGCCTGCTGCAGGGATCAGACCCCTCGCTGTGCGCATCCTGGCGCCGATCCAGGCTGGTCGAAGGTCCCGGGGGGTTTGGGCTTGCTCACGGCGGGATTCTTTCCGGGAGGACCCTCTCCTGAGGAGTGGTGGGCCTTTCGTCGTCGGGGGTGCCCCAGGGACAGCCGTTTCCCAGGAGGGGTTAGCCCTTCCTGGTGTGTGTGTGTGTTTGTTCTCCGGAAAGCACTTCCTGAGAGTGGCGAGCCCATCCTCAGGAGAGATGTTCTGGTCCGACTCTTTTCCCAGCAAGGGTGAAGCCCACATTCGGTGTAAGTTCGATTATTTCCCGAGGGAGATCTTAAGAAATCGATACCTGAGGAGCGGCTGACCCTTCCTCAATAGGGGACTTCTGCGAACAACCTTGATTCACGACGGGTTGACGGGTTGGTCACTATTCGTAATGGGCTCTCGGAGTCTCGGAACAAACTTACCTCCGAGGAGGGTTCATCCTTTTTCGGGAGAGGCTCTCT